ACGGCGACTGGCGCCTCATGAAAGTGAGGCCGAGGTACGGCGGTCGAGCTGGACGAGCGGGGCGCCGCCCCATGTCGCGGCTCAAGGATGGCCACGCGGCTGGAACATCAGTGGAGGTTGACCACATGGTGTTAGGACATTTTGCAGGCATTGAGGATGTACAGGGCGTGGGCGACTCTATCTTCGCCGACGCGCATAGTCTCCACCTTCACCACGATGCTCAGACTGCTGAAATCGACGCCGAGCTGGTGCCCACTACGCATATGGTTGGTGATCCTATCCGTGAGCTGACGAGGCGTGTGGCTGCTGGCCAGGATGGTGTCAAGGGATATGATATGCGGATCTTTCCCCGGGCAACGGCGCGCCTGGATCGTCCCATCTTAGCCGGGAGCAGCGTCTACCAGCAAGGGCCGTGCACATGTAATGGCGGTATAATGTGTCCGTTATCCTTATGGTTTGGCACTTATGCGCGTTTGTTTTCGATGTCGCTCCATCTGGCTGAACAGCGCGGCGAACGTATGTTGGCGCTGCTCTCTGCGCGACCAAGCTTCCAGCTATCGGGGCATGTTGCTTCGGGCCACGCAGTGCGGAGGTAGACCAGGGAAGGGCCGTCCTTTTTGAGGGCGGCGAAGAAACAGGGCCGTGGCGCAGTGCCTTGCCATGTGCGTGGATTCTGCCTCAGCCTTGTACTCGGTAGTGCGCAGTCTTGTGTTGCCACTGGGCGAAGACTGCGGTGGGCACATCGCCCGCGCGTAGTGCCACCGCGAGCTGCCGATCAGCATGGCGCCGCTGCTCCCCGTTATCTTGCGCCAGCCAGCGGCGCTGGATTGCGCGGGGGCTTCGCGCAATTTGCTCGCGCTGCCGGTTGGGGCGCGCAGTCAACGGTAGCGAGGTCTCGGAGAGGCTCTCCGTCTGGGGGCTCTTGGCCAACGCCATCTTCAACGCGGCCTTCTGCCGACCTCTTCGCGCGGTGGACCTTGCGTTGCGTCGACTTGGTGCATGCCTCCCACTGGCCCCCGAGGCCTATGCGTCGGTGTTCTCAGAGGGCACGCCGGCTGATCCTTTGCATGGCATGTCTTTCGGGGACGACGCGATGTTCTTGCAGGCCCCCATTGCGCTCATGGGCTCGGTATTTTTGGCAAGCGGAACAGTGGATGAGGTTTATTACGCTAGTGCCAGTTCACGGCTTCACGGTCGCTTGCGGGCGCTCCAAGTCCAGCTTGTTTAGCATCTTTGGCCCCGATCACGGCCCTGGACTTCGTCGGCGCATCTCGGATCCAGATCTGGCCATAAAGTCAGCTATATGAGGCATGCAGGCACACGTGGCTCGGGCATCGAATTACTTTGGGGCGGTTCCAGACATCGGCGGTTCCTGGAGGCCGCAGGCGGCAGCGCCCATCCAGAAATTAGCGGCGCGCGGCAGCTCATATTCGGCGAATGCGCAACTTTGGACGTATGATTACGCCTGCCAAGACCAACTTGGCACATGCAATGGCGGGCATCTGCTTTACGCCGTGGAGGTTTGGGGGGCTGCGCCATCATCTCTTCTGCGCCAGCTTGATGGCCCGCGGCTGCTCTCTCATCGGGCGGCCCATGGCAAGATTCACCATGGTGCGTCGGGGCAGAAGTTCTTGGATTATGAGGTGTTGCGCGCGGCGCGGTGCGTTCGCATCGAGCACCTGATGTGGAAGAAGCGGCTGGCGCCTTCTGGATATATCGTCGTCGGGGCGCCTGCCTCGCTCTGGTTCCTTGGGGGCCAAGTGGCTGACATCTAAGGCTCATGCTCTACGATGCTGCGGCAGGACCTCTCGCGGCTGGCTACGCGCGACAAGGGTGAACCGAATGGCATGGTCGTTGAGGAGGTGATTTGGAATTTGCCAAGGGGTGACCCCGCGGGTTGTCCTAGAAGGAGTCAAGCGAACTTGGCGATTATTCCTAGCGGTGGACCTAGAACGTATGCGCACGGCGTCATGGCCAACGGGCTCAGTCCGATGCACGTGGGCAGAGAGGCACAGGTCTCTCTTGGACATCGCTATGTGTGGCATATTTGTGGCTGGGCGACGAAGTCTATCCCAGCGTTGCTCAAGCGCGCGATTGACCGCCAGCCGCTGGGCACGGCGGAGCTTGCGGCGGCAGGCTCACTCCATCGAGCGCGCGGAACAGAGTTTGCTGATCCCTCGAATTTGCTACAGCACCGTCGGCGCATTGACGGTCGGCGTTTGCAGCGGCCGTCGCAGCAAAGTGATTTTCCACTTCTGAGGAGGCGGATAGGCTTCGACGATGAGGTCTTGAGAGAGCGGCGGCTGGTGCGCCAGGGCTACAACTGCCGTCAGGCGTTCCAACAGGTTGAGCGTGGATACCATTGGGGAGGTCGAGGTGAGCCCTGGTGCCCGCCAGGGTCGCCCGAGGTGCAGATGGAGGTGGCGCCCCCTCAGCCGCCGATATTTCGGCGGCGGCCCCGCGACGCTCGGGCGTTTTACTGTGTCTTCCCGGGGCGCAGCACGATGCGTGACGCAGGGGAATGGTTGGGGGCCATGGAGGGAGAGTCACTGCAGGTTGCTGGGATCGAGGCCGCCATGGGCGATGGAGAGTTGGCTTTTTGGTCGCAGAATCAACTTGCCGAGCTGGTATCTGCGATATCCGAGGGATCGGTATACGGTTATTGCTGTCTCCGTCTTTGGGCACCTGGCTAAGCTTCGAGGGTCGACCCGGAGTGCAATGGCCTTCGAACAGTTGATCAACCACGTGGGCTTCGAGTAGTGGGTGAAAACAGTGGCGAGAAGTTAGTTGGCGAGAATGAGCAGTTGCGACAGACCTGGGCGCTTTTGGAAGCGATTCGTGCTACAGGAGCTCCCGCGCACCTCGTCGCGGCGGCTGACGTGCCCCGGGCCATCCCGTCAGTGGCGCCAGAGGTTGCGAATTCGATGGGCAGGCGCTTTTTTTGCGGAGCAGATGGTTTCTGCATGCTGGGCACTCTTGACCACTGCGCTACGATGGTGGTATCTGCCCATATGCGCCTGGATTTCAAGCTGTCAAGGCATGCGAATCGCTGCCGCAGTGATCATCGTGGACATGCAGCGGCTGCTCGACTGACCCCTGGCGAGTGGCCGCTTGCCCCCTCGCGCACGTTGGCACCGTCGCCAGCGACGGTCAGCCTCTCCGCGCGCGCGGTCGCTGCCAGGGACAGCCCCGCCATGGCCTCGACAGACGCGGATTAGGTCGAGGCACGCGAAGGAGCCAGTCGGTCATCGATTCACGGGGTTGCATTGTCCTGGTTGGTCCAGTCCACTTCGAGGCCCCCCCAAAAAAAGAAGGTCATGGACTGGCTGGCCAGTGATCCTCATCCGCTGGGTCGCTCCAACTGCGCCCCTGGAGACGTGCACTTAAACCGTGTCGCTTTCTGTTTGCAGGACTATTTGAGCGGTGCATCGGAGGAGGGTCCAGCAGGCATTCCGTTGCGACACTATTCCTCGATGTGCTGCGAGTTTCTCGCGCCCTCATTTCAGGCGCTTTCTTGAGCGAGGCCTTGCTTCTTCGTGGTTGATGATTTTTCCCACTATTGCCTTTATGCCTCCGCCTCCTCCCTCGGCCTTTGTTCCTGCTCCAGGCCAGTTGAGTGTGCCAGGGGTGGTGGCGCGCGGCTCCGTTGAGCTGTGCGATCCGCAGGGAACGCCCGAGATGGCATCGAGGGCCCATGCGGTGCTAAGCGGCGATCCATTGGGCCGTATGGGATCCACTCACCGGCGCGCAGAATTTGTTCAGTAGCCTTCGCTCTCTAATTGTCCATATCGCAGGCGGGGCTGAGGTGATGGAGGATCTCTGGAGAACGTTGGAGCAGGAATTCAGGCGATGGAGGTGCCTCTCGGAGGCTAGTTCGGAGGCTCTTCGCCCCTTCCTTTTCCGCCGCCACCCACAGTTTGCTGCCCCTCGCCGTCCGAGCTCCTGTTTGGCATCAGCGAGGGCAAGTGGAGGGGGTCCCGCGTGGGTGGCGGAAGTGGCAGCCGAGTGCCACCCCGACGCGGGCCCTCTCCTGCAGTCGCTCTCGACTCATGCTTCACCACCATATTGTCTTTGCTCTCTCTCTTCCTCTTGCTGGCTGCGCCAACCTTGCAGGAGGAGGTCGGATCGTGCCTTGCCGCCTCCTCGACATCGGCCTGGACACCCTCTTGGCCCCCTTCGTCCTCACGTAGGCCTCAGCAGGCCCACTCGCCCGCCTGGGTCATCGTCCCCTGGGGGATCCAGGTCGTTATCCTGTTCTGCCTGTGCTACCGCGATGTGCCGACCTCAAACATGTTGGTCGCTCTCTGATGGTCAGCTGCACGTGGGCTCGGCTTGCTCAGGCAACCGTGCCCTCGCTGACGCTACAGGCACGTGCTCGTGCCTCCCGGCCTGTGCAAGACAGGAAGGAGGGGTCCAGGGAGCTGGCCCTGTCCCCCCGCAGGGCCCCGGCACCTGCTGTGTGGAGGAGGCATCGGCCGCGGCCGCCGTCTGCGACTTGTGTCCTCCCCTGTCGCCCGCTCGCGTTCGGCCCTTGTCCCCTGCAGGCGGCCGAGGAGGGCGAGCCTGGGGGGGGCCGCGCTGGGAACGGCCTGTTTCCTTAGAGTCAAGCCGTATAGTAAGGACGAACGACTTTCCAAGGCTACCCTTGCATCCTTGTCCCTTCGGCCCATCCGTCGGCCGTTTTCGCTGGCCGCGCCCCGCTCGCAAGGTGTCGACATGGCCTTCCGAACCCCTTGCGCTCTTACTTCGCATCCTTATTGTAAAGGGTTGATTGTATTGCGAAAGCGTCAACGTCATCCGGAGATGCGCACGGATCTGTTCGATCGGCGATGGCCCCCCATGGCGGCGCCTCCGGCGCCGCCCCTGGCGCGGTTCGCACGCCGGGCACAGGGGGTCCGCGCCGACCCAAGAGATCGACGTGAAGCTCCGAATGCCCATGTTCATGCTGTTTCTGTCCTCCCCTCTCGCCCGCTGTCCTTTTCGGCCTCGCCACCGCCTAGGAGGCCCAGGAGGACGAGCCCGAGGGGGTCGCCGACATCGAGCAGGCCCCCCCCCCCAACGTCAGCCACGCGCAGAGCAGGGGTACGGGGGAGGGGGAGGGTTTTCTTCGAAGGCGCGGGCCTTCCATCTACAGGTAAGGCCCGCACTTTCTAGGACGCAGCCTCCTTCTAAGAAGCCTTCCCCCCTCTCCCTTACCCCCCTCTGTGCGCCGCCGAACGTCCACGAACGGGCACGTCCGAGGGGGAGGAGTCGGAGCGCCGTCCCTGTCTCGTCCCTCCCCCAGAGGACACCTGCACCGATCCTTGCCAAGCCCGCCGTGTCGGGAAAAGCCGAGGTGACGGAGGAAGAGGAGGAGGAGGTGGAGGAGGAGAAGGAGTTGGAGGAGGAGGAGGAGGAGGATAATGACGATTATATTATCGAGGACGACGACGAAAACGAGGAGGAGGAAGAGGAGGGGGAGGAGGAGGAGAAGGAGGAGGAGGAGGAAAAAGAAGAAGAATAGTAATGAGAAGAAGAGCAGGAGGAGGAGGAACAGGAGGAACAGGAGGAGGAGGACAACAACCCGCCCTCTATCCGTTAAGTTGTTGCACATCTTGCCCGCCCTAGCGACACGTCGGCGCGCGCGACAGTGAGAAGTAATGTACAAGGAAAAGGCATAGAGGAGGGAGAGGGCCAGTGCAATCCCAAGACGCACCGACGATGTTGTAATACGCTTTCCTTCCAAGGTCTTGTAGGAACACAATGCCTCGGATTCCAACGCCGCGAATCAACATGACATTTGCGTCGTGATAATCCTAGTTCGTGCCAGAACACCGTTCTTGGGACTTCAAGTCCGCGAACCAATTTGACTGGTTTGCCCTGCCAATCCTAGATCCAGCGGGAACGCCATTCCTGGGACGTCCACCGTGCGAGCCCCCCAAATTGTTGCAAACCGTTAGGGCCCCAGCCACATGTTGGAAGCGATCCGCCCTTCATCCTTGAAGTTGTTGCAATGTTTGAAGGCTTATGTGCGCTGCGCTAAGGCAACAGCCATAGTTTGAAAGGCACTTGTCCTCCATTCGTGAAGCCGTTCCAAACTTGTAGGGTGAATTTACGCGGGCCGAAGGGCGAGAGCCACATTCTGAACACGGTCCGTCTTCCATCCGTGAAATTGCTACACAATGTTAAGACGAATGTGCGTGGCGCTCAGGCGACAGTCACAGTTTGAAAACGACCCGTTCTCAATTCTTGAAGTTGTTGCAAATTGTTAAGACGAATGTGCGCGGCGCTGAGGCGGCAGCCGCATTTTGAAGCAGAGCCGTCCGCCATCCTTGAGTGTTGCAAATTGTCAGGATGAGTGCAGGCGGCGCTGAGGCGGCAGTCGCATGTTCAAAACCGCCCGCCCTCTAACCGTGGAATTGCTTAATTTGTTCAGACGAACTTGCGCGGCGCGAAGGCGGGAACCACATTTTGAAAATGGCCTGCCCTCCACGATTGAAGATGTTGCAGTTTTTGGTGACGAATGAGCGTGGCGCTAAGGGGGGAGCCACATTTTGAAAACGACCCGCCCTCCATCAAAGGAGTTGTTACCAATCTGGCCCGCCCTACCAACACGTCTGCGGGCGCGACAGTGAGGAGTTATGTGTAAGGTTATGATGTTCCAACCTACTTTAGCCTTGACTGCCAGAAATAATTTCGAGCACCAACAAAGTACCCAAACTCGAGGGTTTTCACGTGTCGGGCCCTGGGAGACACTCGTCCGGCACTGTTTCGACACTGTTTCGACATTATTTCGACACTTTTCTGGTTGCTCGAAATTATTTCTGGGATGTGATTCTTAAGTACAACGGGAGCAACATAATTGTAAGGAAAGAGATGGAGGAGGAGGAGGCGGAGGAGGAGGACCAGTGTAAACCCAAGACGCATCAACGATGTTGCAATACACCATCCATCCAAGTTCCCTCTTCACCATTCCTTGCAAGGTTTTCCCGTTGCGGGAACTGCCCCAGTCGAAGACAACCGTTTGAAACTCCCTGGCCCGCCCCACCGATGCCTGGGGATGCGGGCGGTTACCAGCCCGGGGATTGGAGGCGCACCCTGGCGAGAACTCCGGGAACGGGCCTGGGGGCCCTCCTCCCCCCAGCCCTGGCAGAGCCACCCCGGCGCTCACCCCTCCAGCAAAGCGACATTGGCAGGCGGCAAGGAAGCCAGAGATCCGAGGATATGATTACAAACAAACTGGCGGCTCTTCCTGGAGTTCGGCCTCCGGGGGGCCCGATATCGGGCCCGGGGACGGTCAAGAATAGGTCTGGGACGAAACAGCACGCCTGGGCAAGGGGTCGGGACCTTTGAGGCCGCCGATCGAAAAAAGTCATATCGGCGGATGTCTGGGAACCCGGGGACGGGGGCCACCCTCCTTTTGGCAAGGAGCCTGGGGTCCCCCCCTCCCCCCTTGCCTGAGGGGTCCCCACTTGATTATGAAGGGCTGGTGGGTGCCAGGCCCAGTCGTTCATGGCCTTCCCTGAGGTTCCCGAGTCTTGTTTCCTTGAAAGCGCCTTCCCCAAGGATCTCCCAGTCTTGTTTCTTTACGCGGCGTTGTGCAGAGTATCCAGGCAAGGCGTTGCGAAGGGTTGCTTCGTCTTTTTCCTCAATGAGGCTTTGCCTAAGGGGCTCTCACTTATTGTCGAAGAACCGATGGGTGCCAGACGCGGTTGGCCCCGGTATTCCCCGAGGTTCCCCGGTCTTGTTCCATTAAGTGGGCCTTCCCTGGGGGGTCCCCGGTCTTGTTTCCTTACAGGGCCTTCCCTTCGGGGGTTCCCCAGTCTTGTTGCTTTGTAGGGCTTTCAGGTTCCATCGTCTCGTCTCTCAGATTCTCTGGCATTGCAAGGCAATGCCAAGCAGTGCCAAGTACTGCGTCCATGCAATGGGGAGTTTCTCCTCATTGGGGTCGCGTCGGCTTTCTTTGGAAAAGGAAAACATGGTGGGATCTTTATGGGTGCCACTCTACGAGATGGGACCCGTTAGAGCGGGTTCCCACAGGGTGGGACCCTATGGCCGTGCATCGTTGGGATATTAGATAATCTCTACACCGCAAGGCAGTTCATTCTAGGACAAGCAAGGACCACTGACTGGGCAATATCCTGGACGTCCCACTCATCTTCTTTAGGGCAGTGCGTACGGGCCCACATTTGGAAGCCCACTTCTGGAACAATACTCTGGGTCGTGCCTCTCATGGGGGAGGGGAGGATTCGCGGACAATCAGCTGAACAGCAGACGAGCGGATGGAGAGAGTAGCGGGAGCGAGGAGGGATGGGAATGTGCTATGGGGGTGTGGGGAGGAGGGGATGAGGGAAGAAGGCGGGGCGGGCGGAGGAGAATGTCGAGGAGGCTTGACGGACAATTCGTGTGCATTTTTCCCGTCGAGGACCAACAAGGAGCATCTGGGGTCATCTTGCGAAAAAATAAACGTACGACATCGAAAAGTGCACGGGAAATGGAGGTCCGAGCGATGCCGAGAGGAGGCTTGACTGGCAATTCTTTGCCAGCCGAGCTTGTGACGCTTGTTGCGAGGTGACGGCACTAGAAGTAAGTAAGTTCAGCAGTCGTGCGAGGAAGAGTATAAGGTGGATCGGCGACGAAGGGGACTGGTGTGGGAGACGGGGGTGACGTGGGGGGAGAGGGACGGGGAAGGGGCGGGGTGCCTCGGAGGAGGAAGAGAATGTCAGAGACTGCGGTAAAGATCGTGCCGCGCGGAGAGGTTGAGGCCGACGAGGCCGAGGAGTTTCCAACGGAGCTCGCGGACGAAGGAACGCATGAGGGCCAAGGGAAGTGCACAGGGGAGGAGACATGACAGGAGACGGGTGAAGATGGGGCGGCAGGGGAGAGGGAAGTCTTCATCACGCAGTCTCTTCTCCATTCTCGTCTCCGCCCTCATCTCTTCGAGCGCAGCATGCGCTTTCTTACACGTGCACCGCCGTAGATCACATACATGAGCAGGTTGTGGCATTGGCGATGGAAGCTTGGCATGGGAGGATGAGAGAGACAGAGAGAGAACTCGTGTTGAATGTGTGTGTGTTTTGGAGGCAAACTAGCCTCAAACATTTAAGTAAAAAAGCTCAAACAATACTAAAAGGGGGACCCAGCTTCAAGCTGTCCCCCCCCCTTCCTTCGAAAAGGGGGGGGAGCTTCCGAAGCTACCCCCCTCCTTTCTGAAGGGTTTCTAAGCTAGGGGGGCCCTGGCTGAAGGGGGGGGGGGGCTTCGAAGCAATCCCCCCCTCCCTCCAGTTTCTGGAGCAGAAGGTGAGCCCGGGCTTCCCTTTCAAGGGGTTGGGGGGCTTCGGAAGCAACCCCCACCCCTCCTTCCTTTTGTGGTCTGGACACAAGGGGGGCGGCTTCAAGCTACCTCCCCCCCCTCCTGTGCAAAGGCCCGTATCCATTTTGGCTCAAGTCCGTAGCGTTTCGCTCAGGACTTGACTTTCTGGCAAGAGGGAACCTGCGGCCCTCACCGCGCTCGTGTCTCCCCCAGCGCCTGCCCAGGCTGGAGACACCGCTTACGTACTCACTCACAGGCACACTCGGGACCGAACGTCCCCAGCTCGCTTCCCTTGCGCTCACACGTGTGTGATGGCCAATGGATCTTCTGCTCCAAGCACGCGCAGGGCGTGGGCCGCCGGCCCGTGGTATTGCCGCTGGTGCCTTCACCCGCGCTCGGCGGAGCGCTGGTGGAATGGAGGTGACAAGCAAGCTTGCACGCAGTGTCACACTGCGAAGGGGCCAGCGCTCGGCGGACACAAGCTGCCCAAGGCCCCCAGCATCAGCCTGTCGCAGACCAAGGGTGCAGGCAAAGGTCAGCTCGCGGTCTCCCAGCAAGTGCTGCGGGACAAGGACGCCGAGATCCTGCGCCTCAAGCAAGCCTTGCAGGACAACAAGCTCAAGGAGGCGACAGGTGGCGCAGCCCTGTTGCCAGAGGCCGAGGCTGCCACCGACCCTGAGCACAAGCGCCTCAACGAGATCGCCGCCTCACTACGGCAGCTCGGCACGCCGTCGGAGGCCATCCTCATCAAGGCCAAGAGCGACCTCATCGCGGAGAGGGATGCGATCAAGTCCAAGTTGGTTTCCAGCAAGCCATATGCGGCCCAGGTGCAGCATTGGACGACTCGCATTGAAGCCATTCAGCTCCAAGAGGCCAAGCAGCAGAAGACTATCGCTAGCCTCCAGGAGCAGCAAGCCGACATTGCTGCCCAGCTTGCCCAAGCTGAGAAGCTCGCCAGTGAGCTGGCCACGGAGAGGATGGATTTGGAAGCGCAGCGGCATGCCGTCGCCACGAAAGGTCCTGTCCCCGTCCCAGGCCAGTTCAATCTCACCACGATGGTGCCCGCCCTCGACTTGTCGGTCCAGCAGTTGGGAGAGCTCCTCACGGGAGTTGGAGCTGATGAAACCCTCAAAGATGTCGTCGAGAAGTCCTTCGCAGCCCTGCGTGAGCTTAAGACGAAGGCCGAGGCCAAGCCGCATGCTGCGCCACCGTCTGCACCACCCAGAGCCGACATGCTGTCGACCGAGGAGGTGCGTGCGGCAGACACGACGGCAGTTCCCATGGACACAGACGACATCGAGGAGCTCAAAGCATATTACCGTGACATCACAGGCAGTGAACCACCAGAGGAGGAGGACCAGATCAGAGCCGCCGCCAAGAGGTGGATCGCCGCTGCCGAGAACTATGCCAAGAAGCGCCGTGTCGGCCAGGACAGTGCCGCACCTGGTGCAAGTTCAGGCTCTGCTTAATTCATTCGTCCTGGGCATAGTTGTGTATGCTGTGGCTTTGTCGGCATGTCCCTCCCATGACGTCGGGCGGCATAGCCTTAAAGTTCTGGGGCTTGCCCTTGCGCCTGGCGTCGGAGGCGTGGACCCGACATGTTGCCTCAAGCAGATGATGCAGTGGATTGGGTTTCGTGATTTCGCAGTGCTGGTCTTCATGCTGGCGCTGTATGTGCATCTAATGGGGAGTTTTACTTTATCGTCGTATTTTGATGTCAAGCTGGTCGTGCGCTCTGTCGTGATCAGCTACCACGTTCTCTCCAGCGGAGTTGTGTCCATCAGCTGCTGGGTCGTCTGCGCAGGCATTGCGCTGGCCTACCACTTCAGCCACTACCAATGGGATCTAATATCAGATCCAGGCTCTCCGCCACCGCTCGTGTTTCCCCCGAGAGACCCTGCGTCTTGGGCTGCGTCTGAGGAGGCCCGGGGGCCCTCGGCCCGTCTGGGACATCTCTCGTCAGGGCCGAAGCTGGGGAGAGGGGAGTCTGGTGCTAGAGTGGGCGATGTGAAGGTGCGGTTTCGACCACGACGGGCCGTATTTGTGCTTGCATTGGTGTCGTGCTGTCACACCGTGGAGTCTGTCAAGAGCTCTGCGGCAGCCACCTCTGCCCCTCCTGAGAGCCGAGCTGCTGAGGCGCAGCCTGGCGCCGCCACGACAAGCGTCCAGCATGTCGTCACTGCCAATGTCAGCTCACATGGGCCTTTGATAGACATGCTCAAGTCCCCGTGGGCGGCCACCAGCATCTTCCTCATGCAAGAGCACCATGCGGACGCCGCTCGTCTTGCTGACGTCCAGCACCAGGCTGCTCGAGCGGGCTTTACTGGTCTGTGGGCAGCAGCGCCACAGACTGATCGAGGTGGCACCTTCGGCGGCATGGCGATCCTGGCGCCCGCGCGTGCGTCCATCGCCCAGGCGCCCCAGTGCCCCGTGGAGATCGTCCCAGGGAGACTCTTGGCTGCACAAGTTTTCTGGGGGCCCAACGGCGGCATCACCAGGATCAGCATCTACCTTCGGGTTAGCGAGGGCCTCAGTGACGCCAATATTGACATCTTAACCAAGGCTGCTGAATACATCACCTCGCTCGAAGCTCAGGGCAGGAATTGGCTGATAGCAGGAGATTGGAATATGGACATTTACCTTCTTCGACCTTTCTTCAACAGTCTCAGTGGCATCGTCGTGCACCCGTCGTGCCCGACTTGTTTGCAGAGCAAGCCTGGGTCCATGTACGACTACATCTGCATGTCAGCAGCGCTGGCCATCAAGGCGGGCACTTGCGAGGTTCTGGAGGACACTGATCTCTTCCCGCATTTGCCCGTCTCCGTCACGATGATGCAGTCTGAACAAGTGATGTGGATGAGAGTACCTGTCCAGCCCCTTGCAGTGGACCCTGTGCCTCACCCAGGGTGCTCTAGATTCCCGCCTCTTCGGGAGTGGCAAGTTGCGCAGGATTTGATTGATGACGCTCAGAACCCACACCAGCTTGCTGCCGCTTGGGATGCTGTTATTGTTCGCTTGGAAGGTGAGGTCCTTGATCGATATGATATCATTGACTCTCGGAGACGCTGCAGGTACCAAGGTCGGGCAGGCCCCCCTACTTGGGAGTGGAAGCAGCTGAGAGCTCCAGATGCGAGGCCACCACAGAGGTTGGCAGCGTACAAGATTCTGGGACGTTGGGCTCGCCATATGCGGGCTATGAAGATGCGCATGACAAAGAGCGTATCTATTCTCCCAGAGCATCGAGATTGCAAGCCTGGGGTATTTCCACGCCATATGTTGCCAGTTGCGGGCATCCAGCTCCAGCGGGCCTCGGACTGGACCCGTGCGCTCAGCACTTTCGGTTCCTTTCAGGCCGACCTCATACGTGAGGAAGATGCACAGGTATTGCAAGATGAGGTTCGGTTGTTCACTAAGTTGGCCTGGGACCTCCAGGGTTTCTTCCACAGAGCTTCGCGGAACAAGTGGGTACCGCCGCTCTTGGATGTCGAGGATCGCAAGTTCATCCAGAATATGCGTGTCACTTTTTGTGCGCCTACATTGGAGTCCGACGTCCAGAAAGTGCTGGAACAAGTAGATCGTGTTATCCATGTTTTGGGCTATTTCAAGACCCAAGAGTGGCAGGCCTGGGCGGCTGCCTCTTTCCAGGGAGGAGCGCGTCAAGCACATCGGTTTGCCAAAGTACGTCAGCTGCAAGAGGTCCTTGAGTATTCTGATAGACCCCACCCTTACCAGCGTGCTGATGAATGTCTCGACCCGTGGGCTACGATCTGGCCCACTCATCATCAGAAGCCGCTCGATTTGCCGACTGATTTTCACACTTGGGCCAAGTTGCCAGATATTCCGTTGCTAGATTTGAGATGGGTTTTGAGGCGTTTCCCAGCGAGAACGGCCCTTGGGCAGTGCAATATCCATCCGCGGTGCCTCGACGTGGTGTCGGATGTGGGCCTCGCTACGCTTATCTCTCTCTTGCACAAGTGCGAACAGCTCTGCGCTTGGCCTGAGGAGCGAATCCAAACTCGAATGGTGCGTTTGCCCAAGGAGTCAGGAGGGCATCGCTTAATCGCCCTCATCCAGACCATCGTGGGAATATGGGGCCGCCTACGCCGACCGCTCTCCAAAGCTTGGGAGGTGGCCAACTCAAATGATGCTTTCTGGGGCTCACGTGCAGGTGCTACTTCGGTCGATGCTGCTTTCTCGCACAACGTTGTGTCAGAACTGGCGCAGCTGCGCCAGGAGGTCTCCATCACCGTGCTGATCGACATGTACAAGTGTTTCGAGATGATTATTTTACCTTGCCTGGTGCAGCGCGCTAAAGAGCTCAATTTCCCCCTTCGGCTTTTATGGCTAATCTTGGCCAACTACCAGAGTCCGCGGGTGGTCAAAGGTTGGGGCTCTCTCTCCCTGCCGTACACTTCGAATCAGGGCATACTTGCAGGATGTACGCACGCTA